CTATGATTCAAACAACTCAACGATTCATTTGGAATTGATAGTACTGAAAAATGTTGGGTTTCGGTTTTCTATGAAATTACAGAGTGGAAGCTCCAAAATAACAATGGTTCCTTGAAGAAAATGAGGAAAATAAAGTTTCCAAACCTCAAATTCCCCAGTATCTCAGTAAAATTAGTCAACAATGAAAACACTATCTTCTACTGAGAAGAATAACTTTGTCAATACCATTGTGTTCGAAATTTGTTTTGGATGTTTGAATCTCTTGAACCGCTAGATATACAGGCCGTTTCTTTTATCATGTGGTAACATTGCTATATTTTAAAACGTAACAGATACGAAGACGATTAAATAGAAAAAACATTAATTTTCATCGGGAACAATACAATGGCCGACGAAAATTTACGACCTTCCCGAGTTATACAGGGAAAACCAAAAATGCTGTTTTTTGTTTTTCTCGAATGGAATTGTTATTTCGGAAAATATCAAAGAATGGAAAAAATGCTATTGTATTCGAAGTGTACGATTGTAATAATGTATATTCGATAAAACGTTTCGTGTCAACATGGCCCCCATCAACTTTTTTTTTTCAATACGGACCTGTCTTTTTTATTACAGATATTGATAAAACAATAAATTCACAATCCAGTGGTATATCACATTCAATATTTTTATGGCATTTCATTTGAAATAACCACCATCATCAGTGACAACAATCAAACAGAAAAACAATTTATTTTATCATGAACTTTTGGGAAAAATTAAACCAATAGAGAAAATCAAAGCTACATGGCAATCTACATTGAATGCTCGAATTGATGACCTCTTTGTTGCATGCACATAAGTTGTAGGTCCATACAGTTTCTGTGGCAATTTTCTAGCATCATAGGTGTGATACTAATACGTGCATCTCTTATTTTTTGTTTGAGATGGTCGATATCTGTACTTTGTGTTGAAAAAACTTCATCCTTTATGTATCCCCAGACAAAAAAATCTGAAGGAGTAAGATCTGGGGATTGAGCTGGCCGGTTAATTGGTCCATTGTTTCCAATCCATTTTCTTGATAATATTGCATATAAATGTTCCCTTACTATTGAAAAAAAAAATCTGTTTAAAATCTGTTTTTCCGTTAATCAGCTGTCGCCCCCATACGAACGACAACTCTCAGAAGTTGAGAAACTTGTGCGAGCCTAGGACTAGCGAGGTCTTACCTTTTAACGTGTGATTCCTAACACGGTATTGCTGCATTATGGGGAGGAGCGCCGTTCTGTTGAAGATATTGTATTTCATGACGGATATTCAGTGGCAATTCATCGAAGTAGCCATCGAATTCATTGAATACAAAATGAAGATACAGTTCACTATTCAAATTATCATCGTAAAAGAAACGGCCAAGGATGTTTGTTCTCACATTTCCCAACCAAACATTTATTCTTTCTTTCTTGGAAATCGGTTTCCCTATGTAGATGTTCATTTGTATTACTCCACCTATAATGGATATTTCTGATAAACCAACCACTGTTGGTGAATTTCGATTCATCCGTCCATATTATTTTTTTACAAATATTTTCAACTTCCATATTTCTACGTTTTAACCACTTCGCAAATCGTACTCTCATTCCGTAATACCTTTCATTGAAGTGATGAACTCAGTGTATCATATACAGCAATTATATTTGTTCTTTTTCAAAATGGTTCTGATGTATTTCACAAAAATCCCCATTTCGTGGGCAATTTCTCATAAAGAACAATCTTGATTAGCTTGATTTTTGTAACTGGCCAATCCTAAACTAAAAAAAAAAAAAAAATGTTTTCACCCTTTAAATTTTTCTGTGGTAATATTTGCTCAGCCATAACATTTATTTGATTCCTTACACTTCCAGTAACCAAACATTTTCCTGTTTTCTTTCTGTCAAATGCACCATAGTGCCTCAAAATTCTTTCTAATCGTCTAAACATTTGGATGTTCGGAATACGACGATTCGGGTATAGCTCAACAAACATATTCTTTGCCAATAGAGGATTTCTATTTGATTTTGCATAAATAAATAGCATATCAGTCCTTTCATCATTTGAATACATCTTTGATATGTACATAAACGTCTGACAGTTCTCAACAGATATCAACAACACATTTATTTTTCCTGCCATAGAAACCAAGCAAAGACTACGCGTTTAAGATGGTAAATTAATTGAGATGCTATTTGATCATACCAAATTATACAACAATCGAATTTTGACCAAAACTGATATTTTCCTAACTTTCAGGATTCATTAGAGATAAATAAGCCTTGAAAGAAGGATTACGGCAATACAAACATTTTCAAAACGGAAAAGTACGAATTTTAATTGTGTTAGGGTACCTAGCTGTCGAATTTATTGGGTTGTTAGAATTATATTTTGAAGAAATCGGAACAATTTACAAAAAAAGTAACGACAGGACCGTAATTTAAAATTGTTGTCACTGATGATGATTGTTATTTCAGATTGAACGCTATATAAATATCAAATGTGATGTACCCATGGAATGTAAATTTATAGCTTTATCAATATCTGTAATAAAAAAGACAGGTCTTTTTTTAAAGTTTAAGATGGCCACGTTGATACGAACCGTTTTATCGAATATTTATGATCACATCGTCATAGTACACTTCGAATACAATATTTTTATTTTCCATTTTTTTATATTCTCCGAAATAACAATTCCATTTGAAAAAAAAAGGGAATTCAGCATGTTTGGTTTTCCCCGTATAACTCGAGAAGGTTGATAGACCCGGTAAATTTTCTTAGACCACTGTATTGTTCTTCCCATTTAATCGTCTTCGTATCTGTTACAGTTTAGAATATAGCAATGTTACCATATGATAACAGAAACCTGTATACTCCATCTTTATACAAAAAAAGAGATGAGGGAATATTCCAAAAAAAGGAAGGAGGTAATCAATTTGAAAATAAGTAACTCTATTCACGGATGTGTAGATCATGCAAACGAGTAACTTTCAGACACAAACTGAAAGAAAGTCCTCTTGAAACAGCTACTTTCATATAAACATTGAATTACACAAAAGAAAAAAATTCTTTCAAACAATCGTTGTGGAATAAAAATAAGATATCATTCACATGAGTTCTACTTCAAATGAATGGTAACAAATTGCACTCACATGGAACACTGTCATCCTCACTGGTATACATCGATGTTTCGCCGTAACACACTTGCCCTAAGGCTCTTCAGTACCAAATTGGGTAACATTATAGAAAATACACACAATTCATTCCCAAAAATTAATCACTCCTGAAAATATAACCCCTTCAATTCAAACCTGTATAATTATGCAATTTCTTATTCAAAGAAATCTCTCCATGAAGGACTCAAACAAATCTACATTTTGAAAACATCTTCATAACGAAACAAAATTTTCAAATGATTCTTCATTGAAGACTATGACTACACTGTGCTTTCACTTGATGAAAATCACTTGACGATAATTTTGAAATTTCTGCAATAAATTTCATTCAAGACACGTTTCTCTACTCGTCAGCTTCTTCAGTTTGACTGGTGTGTAACTAATTATTTTAAAAATAAATATTGTGATGTGAACACACCGAATATCTAAGACATTGATATCGGAATTGAATGAGCTGTGCGGACTGTGACAAAATATATACCGGTCAGACTGAGCGAGCCATTGAAACTCCTTTCAAAGAACACGCAGCACATATAGCAGGCCAGATATCACAGTTAGAATAAGAGGTGCTTCCAACATAATTGTCACAGGTCATTCTATAATTTGAGAAATGAGGTCGTGAACAATCTTCATTATTGTCAGAGAATGAATGATGAAAAGTTTGAACATTTATTAGGATGAACTGGAATGAGTTTTTAACACATTTTCTTTCTCGAGATTGGGATATTTTTCATTCGTTTGCAGATTCTTGATACAGTATTAAATCGTTAATCACTCAGAAAGAGGTTATTTAATTTCCGAAAATAATCCACTGTTGGTAGCACCCTCTCGGCGATTTTTGATGCTACACTATTGCCTTTATTATCGAAAAGTACTGAAATAACAAATTGTTTCGGAATTTTGTCACCTTCAAAAAAATAGAGGAGGGAAATTTCATATCCGCGCTGTATAATACAAAACTCATCTGACTTCTTATCTGTAAGATTTTTGAGAAGGACTATTATTAGGAATCTTTATTCATAGTTTGTGAAACAATTTTCTCATAAATCGAAGATAAACATAACTTTTTGCTGTTGTAAAATCTGGGAAAACCCAAGAACCGAAATCTACGCCGAAGAAGTCTTGGGCAGCAATTTTGTAAAAGTAATTATCATCGCATTAACTCGAGACTAATGTGTTGATAGACTAGACATAATAAATAATCAGGAAAAACCTTCAGTGTATACAAATGTAACATCAATATTAGCTTTTGATTCCTGATGCTTTTGTTTTGGATATCTTTTATATTGTGATTATGACTTTTTTATTTTCGATATTTCAATTCTAGCAAATATGGCATAGAATAGTCTAACAATTATTCCAACTGAGAAGTATTCAATTAAAATGAAATGAGTATTTCAACAAGTCAAGTACTTTTTATGGCAGCAACGAATGTTTCGTGTTCACCTACTATATAGGTGAAACATGGTAATTTCGACAATTATCAAGAAAAACATATGAAACCCGAGTAAAATTTATTCAAACCAAGTAAAAACCCATTGAACTTTGAACTGACAGTATCAGGAGATACCTTGTTTCAGAAATGAATGAATGAAATTCAATCCACTAGTCCTCTCCAGTTCGTGGGCCAATGGACTCTGCTCCCTTTTTCCACTATTCATATCTTTCACTGTCACTTTCGGAAACATATCAACATGACTTTAGCCAATGTTCACGATGTTCATACCGCACTCTGTTATTTTCACACTTTCGAAAGCATCAAAATATCAAGTGTCTTGTACCGATATCCACAATTCAGGATATTTTTTATTTAATATATGATCGTTCTTGGAAGTATATAGAGTGACACTAGATTTTTTTGGATATGGTCTGCATGTTCCTTGAAACGAGTTTCAATAGCGCGCTTGGTCTGACCGGTATATTTTTCATCACTGTCCTCATAGCTCATCGTGTCCCTATGTGAGCAAGCAGGACAAGGCACTTTGAATCAATATTTTTAAAAACATAATAATTCAATTTGCGATGGTTCTTTCTGAATTTTCGTTTCTTGATTTACTCCTCAACTATATTTGGATAAAATTGCCTTCATATATGTCCCTGATATTTTTTTCAATATCGTATCTTTCTTCAATCAAAGGGAATGTAACAATGCGCAAAAAAGTTCAGTCCTCCAATTTTGTCTAGTGTATAACGGTGTGAACTATCAGGAATACATCTTGAAGAACTGGCATTCCTCTTATAGACATCAAATTCTAGACCCTGGTTACTTCTATCACTTTGACATCCATGAATGGTACAGAAGTTTATCAGTTTTATATGTGAACTTCGTATTCAGGAATCTGTTGAGAGTCGAAACACAGTTTTTTAGTCTGAATTTCTTCGTGTCAAATATCCCCTCAGAATGTCTCTCAAAATTTAATAGTTTTTGGTAAAGGTACACTTGGAAACAACAAGGATACATTAAATGATATTGAAATCTCTCCATCTTCATGAATTCATGTGATTCAACAACAATTGTGAGAATTAGAAAGTTCCAAGTTGTTTAGTTACCCATTGAAAATTTTATGAGTATTCCTTCTTATAGCGGAGACAATTGGTCTCACCGACTTGCCAGGCTTGTGAATTTTTGATAGACGGGAACTGTATGATTATAAATTCGTAGACTTATGAGTGTATTCTTCACTTCCTTAACCATCTGAGGCAGAGAGTTCCTCTATCATCCATTCATTTTCATGAATTGACTTATCTCAGTGATTTATTTCCGATGTTGATTTTCATGTTCTAGTAGACTAACTTTTCATAAACTTTTTCCTTTATTTTCTCTCCAGGATTTGAAAGAGTTCCTTGATGAGGCAGATGAGGGAGTAATCTATTTCAGTTTGGGTTCAAATGTCAAGAGTGTCAATATTCCTGACAGAGTGAGAGACACTTTAATGGAGGCTTTCTCAGACTTACCATATACAGTTCTGTGGAAGTATGAATCTGATATTTTGATCAACAAACCAAAGAANCACGTTGAGAAAACCAAAGCAAAAACATGCAAAAGCATACTGTTTTTGGATTCTGACAACAGAGGTCGTTTCTGATGTCATGAATCGAGAACAGATTCTATGTTTGGCAGTTCGCATAGAAAATGCGTAAGTTCGTTACATTCTAAGAACAAAGTTGTTCATTGATAGAGGTGATCGATTAACGACAGCACATTTTATTTCTCGAGTGCCGTAATAAAATATATAGAAGTATGAATGAAAATATAATTTCAGTTTAATCAACAATATTGGTTCAATCCATCATTGAAAAAAAAAGTAGAGAACTTCCAAAGAAAGGAAAAAGTGTAATCAACATCATAAGACGAAGCACTAATTTCTTTCATAACATGTCACCGAAAGAGACAAATCTGCTCTTGTCACGATGACAGAACATATACGGTTAGCTAATCCCAGTCAAAGGACTTCCATTCAATTTGAAAAAGAAAATATTTCCAGAAGAAATTAGTTGGCTATCAACAACATGTAATTCCCTATAATTAATTAAATTTTCTGGTTCTGTTGTTTGGAAACTGGTAATA